GGAAAGGGGCGGGGCTAATGGGAGAAGGCGAAAAGGGCAGGAGCAGTATGGAAGGGGCGTGACGGGAGGATGGGGGCGCGGCCAACAGTATACTGGGCGGGGCTAACGGGAAGGGCGTGGTCACCAAAAGCTGCAGGGTTAAATGGCTGGGTGAATGGGGAAGGGGCGTGGTTAGGGAGATCGGAGGCGCGGCCAGTGGAACCCTGAGCGGGGTTGACAGGGGGAAGGGGGCGGGGCTAATGGAAGAAGGGACGTGATCCAAAGGAAAGGGACGGGGTTCGTGTGGTTAGGGAGGATGGGGGCGTGGCCAATAGAACGCCGAGCAAGGCTGACAGGGAAGGGGCATGGCTCAGAACTAAGGGGCTGGACCGCAGTTCCTGTGTGATCTTTGCTGCCACGTGCGGCGCCTGCCCCGGGGGCTCCTCGGACCTCCGTGTGCCCGCTCCCTCCGCGCCCCTGTGCCGCTCCCTCCCCATCCCCGCCTGCTCTGACCCCTGTTCTTCCACCCCCCGGGCAGCCGAGCGTGAGATCGTGCGCGACATCAAGGAAAAGCTCTGCTATGTGGCCCTGGACTTCGAGAACGAGATGGCCACGGCCGCCTCCTCCTCCTCCCTGGAGAAGAGCTACGAGCTGCCTGATGGGCAGGTCATCACCATCGGCAACGAGCGCTTCCGCTGCCCAGAGACCCTCTTCCAGCCTTCCTTCATCGGTATGTGGCCCGGCCCCTAATGAGCGGGGGAGCTGGAGGTGCAGCCCCTGAACCAGGACTTCCTAATCTTTAACTGCTGAAGACTGCAAATGGGAGCGGGACAGAGTGGGTGTGGGTGGGGGACCCTGACCAGACCCTGTTCACCTTCCCTTTCACCCTGCCCCTGGGTGCTACAGGCTGGGCGAGACGATCCAGGAGGGGGCAGTTCTTCTGTGCCTCCTTTCTGGGGAGACAAGGTTCTTTGGGAAGATCTGCTATTTTTTATTAGACCAGCTCAAATAGTTGGAAAACTTCTTAGAGGAGGGTATAAATACCCTTCGTCAGGCTGAGGAAGCAACTCCAGTTGGTGCATGCTCTTCCTTTTCGGGGAAAAACCCTGTCCCCGTCCTCTCGCTCTCCGCGGTGCCCTTCACCCAGCCCCTCGCCCCCAGGTATGGAGTCTGCTGGGATTCATGAGACCACCTACAACAGCATCATGAAGTGCGACATCGACATCAGGAAGGACCTGTACGCCAACAATGTCATGTCCGGCGGCACCACCATGTACCCCGGTATCGCTGACCGTATGCAGAAGGAGATCACTGCCCTGGCTCCCAGCACCATGAAGATCAAGGTGAGCTCTGCTGTCCGGGCGGGGGCGAGGAGTAGCGCAGTGCCTCGCTTTGCCAGCAAGGGCAGCTCCGCCTGCCTCCACGTCCAGCTGGGGATGTGGTCCTGCCTTGTCCTGCTCTGCTCCTGCCTCGCTCCTTTCACTGATCCGATGTCTCTTTCTCTCCCTCCCCCAGATCATCGCTCCCCCCGAGCGCAAGTACTCTGTCTGGATCGGTGGCTCCATCCTGGCTTCCCTGTCCACCTTCCAGCAGATGTGGATCACGAAACAGGAGTACGACGAAGCCGGCCCCTCCATTGTCCACCGCAAATGCTTCTAAGCAGGCTGACACGATGCCGCCGGGACCCGCTCTCAGGACGACGGTGCTGCCGGGCTGCCGGAGCCCGTCTAACTCCCCCTTTACTTTTGTAACACCCCCTGCGACGGGCGCCGCCACCTCCCCGTGACGCGGTGTCTGTAAAGTGTACATACGTTAATTTATTTTACCTCGTTTTGTTTATTTTTCAAACCATGCCCTGCGGAAGGAAACACGAAACACTTCAAGAAGCATTAAATCATCAGTCATTCTGGCACGCCCCACGCCTGCGGCTCCTGTGCTCACTCAAGCGCTCCCGCCCCGCCTGCACTGCCCGGGGCTGGAGGCGGGGGGGGGGGGGGGGGGGGGGGGGGAGGACGGCTGGGCTTGGAGGAAATCACCGCAGGGACAGTGCAGCCCTGCTCCGGGAAGCGGGCCAGGACGCCCGGGGTTTTCTAGCGCTTCCCCACATGCAGTTCCCGACGCACGTGGAAAATGGGCGGGCACCTGAGCCTGAGCTGGGGAACAACCAGACAGCAAAGAGTCAGCCAATAACAGACAGTAGCAATCGGACAGTAACAGTAGCAGTCAGCCAATAGCGATCAGACCGTAACAAACAGTAGCAATCAGACCATAACAATCAGACAGCAACACCCAGGCAATAACAGCCGCAACCAAACACCACTCGGCCACAATCAGCAACAACCGGATAAAAGCAGACAGCAATGATCAGACAGACAGCAACAGGCACAGCAGCGAGGTGCTGGAGCAGCTTTGGCGGGGTGGGACGTGCCTGGCCCCTAGGCTGAGCGCCTCTGCTTCCCCACGGGTTCATTCCCTTCCCCCCATCGCCCGCGAGTCCCCCCCGCCCCGCTC